ATTAAATATATGTTTTTCACCTTTCCGAAGGCTACCGCTACATGGTAAGACGGGGTGTATAAATTTTGAGTGNTACAAACAACCGTTATGTGAACAAAGTTATAATACCCTTGTGCACAAGTGCGCTCGGGTATAACAAGTCGGGCGGAGCCGAACATTAAATACCCGGCGCAAGTATTAAATATATGTTTTTCACCTTTCCGAAGGCTACCGCTACATGGTAAGACGGGGTGTATAAATTTTGAGTGAATTAGCGTCCTTAAATTTCGAGATATTGAAATTTCAAGCATTTCTGAAATTTACCGTTATATGAAAAGCGCCGTAATTTTGGCCCGATTTCAATAATTTTCAACATTTTGCTTTTATGTGGCAAGCACAATAACCATACCGAATTCGGTATAAATTGGTACAACGGTTACCGAAATACATATATGTGATCATAAGTGGGCGGTGCCACGCCCATTTTCCAAAATTTTATCACAAACTTATTTCCTGGTAAAGAACTGCTGCAACCATCAATTTTGAATAAATATTAATTATTATTATTAAATATATTAATATTTACAGATTTATCGAAGTTTTTGTATTTCTGGAAATTACTGTTATATGGGAAGTGGGCGTGGGCGAAAACCTACATACCAAATTTCGTTGAGATATCTCAATTTTTGCTCGCGTTATCGTGTACACGTACGGACGGGCAGACGGACGGACAGACAGACATGGCTTAATCGATTTCTCTATTCATTCTGAGCATTTATGTATACATTTGTCTATATCTATCTCGATTCGTTTTGGCTGTTACAAACAACCGTTATGTGAACAAAATTAATATACCCTTGTGCACAACTGCGCTCGGGTATAAAAAGCATGCTGAAAGCATACAACTCATTTATTTAAAACTAGCCGGCCGCGGATGTGCGAGGCTTCGCCACGCGCTGAATGTATCATTCAATGTGTTAACTGCACCACGTTCTTTTTTTACTTCAGATTTTTCTTTACATTCATTGGACTTATGCCCCAACTGGTTACACTTAAAGCATTTTATGTTTGTAACCCTACACGTCTTCGCTAAATGTGAGGTACTCCCACATTTAAAACAGGCTTTGTCCTGTGTTTTGGTTTCACCTATTTTTGTATTCGTGTGACTATACTCGTTCGTTTTTGTAAATTGTGGTCTACCCTCTTTTACTTTTTCATATACCTTTATTTGCAACTTCAATTCATTTATGGTTTTTGCTTGATAAAGTATAGCCTTATTATTTTTATAATCATCGATACCATCAATAAAATATTCTATTAGGCTTGCTTCATCCACTTTAATTTTCCTGCCTATATCCATTAATGCATACAAATACTCGATAAGGGTTTCTTTTGGATATTTTCTACGTTTCTGCAACATTTTGTGAATATCCGCCGCAGACACCTTCGCCCCAAACTCTTCAATTAAAACTTCCTTCAATTTTTCCCAATTTACTGCACAAGTCTGGCTTCTTACAAATAGCTTAGCTGCACCTGAAAGAAGCTGTTTTGCATATACAAATTTTTGAAGATCAGACCAACGCAATATATCCGCATTCATTTCAAATTCTGTTAACCACTGTTCAATATCCTCCTTATTTGTACCAGTAAATCGAGCTATACTATCACCTAAATCTTTTAATGTAAAACCAGGGCGATGTTGGCACGGCAAGTGAGACACACCTGGACGCATATTTAAGGCATTTACTTCTTCATAAAGTGATTCCACAGATTCTTCATCTTCTTCCTGACCTACAGAATGCCCGAAATGTACAAGCAATCTGTCCTGTAATTCTTTTTTCCGTCCACTTGTCGACAACTCAAACTCCCTTAATTTTTCTTTTAAAGTATCAACTGTCAAACCAAGTATAGTCGCTGTGTCCATTTTAATATTGAATATAAATTAATAAAATAATGTGATTAAATAATGTGTTAAAAGTACAATGTTTAACTTAACTAAATTAAGAATAATAATTAATTGTTCGTTTTTGGAAAATAACTAGTTTTT